GTGAAGGTCTGATCTAGTGGAACTAAGGAATATAGCTTGTCTGAATATTTGCCATGAAAATAACGATAGAGTAGCAAGAGGCAAGTAATGTTTTGTCTGTGGGATAGGGGTTGCAGGGTGAGAAATAATTTATCACCTACAAGACCTCATAATTGCTCTTGAACTTTATCATGGCTTGACAGTGAGGACTAGGCAGCACCAGCTCAAATACAGCAACAATACTTCATTTTTCTTCTGATCTGACTCTTGTAAAAATAGAGCATGGCAGTAGGAATCAAGTAGTTTCTGGAGCAGTACAACAAACTAACTATTCTTCTAGCATCTTTAGCAATGGTATAAAGATACAAGTTCCACTTGAGGTTTGGAGTAAGCTTTTGTCCCAACAGATGTTTGAGGTATCAGGACTGGTGTAAATTTAGAATCTTCTTGTAGTGACGAAGCATTAATAGCCTTGTTTTGGAAGTAATGAATTTTTTTTACAATGATATTCACCCTGTACAAGGTTCAAGAGATACTCAAGGTAGAGGGTTACAGAGTAAAAGCACAATTTATAGGAATATGTGGGGAAGATAATAGTTGACCCTAGATTTGAACAGCTCAAGATTGTAATGATTGGTGAAGCATCCTCTTGAGAGTTGGTTCCACAAAGAAGTGGTTTATGTAACTTACATCTTACCAGTGGAATACTTAGTCTTAGCCATGAAAGTTAGAACTGGAATGCAGTTCGTCTGAACACTTTCCATAGAAAAATAATGATAGATTAGCAAGAGGCATGTATTGTTTTGCCTGTGGAAAGGGGGTTGTAGTGTAGAAAATAATTTGTCACCCACAAGGACGTGTACATGCTTTTGAACTCTATCGAGACTAGAAAGTGAAGACTGGTCAACAGTACACCATTTTTAGCCTGATCTGACGTTCAAGGCATGCTGGAGGGACCCTGAGAGAGCATCCCATTCATTGTGATAGGGGAAAATTCAGGATCTGCTTGGTGACAGATAGCTTGGTATTCAAGACATTGAATGAGACCAGCCAGTTTTTCCCCTACAGAGCTGTTAAAACTAATTTAGAAGAGATATCAGCTGCCAAGCTCTCATCCTCTAGAGTTTTAAGGTGTACCTATATAGATCAGCAGAGATATTCACATAGATTGAAGTATACTCTTAGGCAGATCTTTATGTAAAGTAGAAAGAGGGTTGAAGTGAGAAATGGGCATAGGTGATCAGAGAACTGGCCATTAACAAACTACCTTCAGGGACCTACCCATTAAGAAGAACTTGATAACTGAGAAGATTCTGTATCAGTCTATATTTCTGAGATGAGGTTTTATGTACATTATTTACATTGCTCGGACTATCATCCTCATCTTTGTTGCCATATTTATCACAACATTTTGGCCATTGTATGCTCCGGCCTTCTTCAGGTGGTTGGAATGTCATCCATTAGACATGATAGGTGGAACTAGAACAGTGTACTCCAGCAAGTGAAATAAAGGGTTCAGTTTGACATTCCAGCCACCTGAAGAAGGCTGGAGCATACAACAGCTGGAACGTTGTGATAAATATGGCAACAAAGATGAGGATGATAGTCCGAGCAATGTAAATAGTGAGAAGATTCTTCCAGTGATTACATAGCAAGAGAGCATGTATAGTAACTCTCTATACCACACATTATCAAAGGACTTTGAAATATCTAATGTGATCATCCGTGCTATGTATTTGTTGTCTGGTGACTCACTAATTTTGTGAGTAATGTTGGTTAAGATATCAGCAGTGGATCAAAGTTGATGGAAATCTGTACTGCTTGTCACTCAAAAGGTTGTCCCTATTGAGGTGATCAACAGCATTCTTGTTGATTATAGCTTCATAAACTTTGCTAATGACACTGAGGAAGCTGATGGATCTACAGTGAGTATACTGAATGATACAAACCAGTCTTTCCCACATTGAGCTGTTTCAGCTAGGTCAGATAAGAGTTCAGCTGCCAGGTTATAGTTATCTTGATCTTAGAAGGTGTATCCATAAACATTGGTATCATCTGTATATATATGATCTTAAGCAGATTGTTAATATAAAGCAGAAAGAGCGTAGGACCAAAAGAGAGCCTTGGGAAACACTAGCATTGATCTTTTGTGCTTCAGTGGCCTGGCCAACAATGACAACCTCATAGACCTACCTACCTAGATTATTGAGAAGATTCTTCCAGAGATTCCACAGCTAGAGAGTTTATGTAACAACACTCTGTGCCATCTCTTGTCAAAAGCCTTTGAGATATGTAATCACTCGAGATGTGCATATTATCAGGGGTTTCACTGATTAAATGCATGATAATAATTAAGGCATCAGCAGTGGATCTAGTGGTGTGAAAACTATACTTTGTCACTCATGAGGTTGTTTCTGTTGAGGTGATCAACAACTTTCTTGATGATAACTTCAAAAAGTGTACTGATGACACAAAGAATGCTGATGTGGCAATATTGTGACTGGGACATGCATTCTTGTAAACAAACCCATGGAAGGTCTCAGCTAGCATACTGCTATGGGTTTGGAAAACAACTTTGCCAAAATTGGAGATAGCTCTGGATCAAAGTTCTTCAGAACAATTGCAAGGATTTTATCCAGACCAGTAGTCTTTGTAGAGTTAAGGCTTTTGATAAGTCTGGAAACTTCTTGGCACAAGTTAAAGATATCACAAAATTTGTGCACTCTAAGTGAACCATATTTTGTCTTGAATATTTTAGATGAGCAATTATTATTTTTTTAAACTGATTGATTTGTTTGTTTAATGGCATATAAACTCCTTACGAGTCATTTAATACTGAAATTTAATTTACATGGAAGTTTTGAATTAATAAAAAATGTTATTCTGCTTTCACAATTGAATACATGGTAGATGATACTCAGCTTTTGTGCATATGCATGTTTGTTGGTTGGTTGATTTTGTTTAGCAGCATATTAACATCTATGGGTTATTTAATGCCAAAATCTAAATATTTTGCACATAATTTTTTACTTCCAGAGTAAAAGGTATGTTTTTAAAGATATAATTTGTAGCTCATAAAATGTATTGCTGGTAATTTATTTATAAAAATTGTATTTCTGGTAATTTTATTATAAAAATGTATTGTTGATTTTTGTTTGGGGGTTCACTATTTTCCCATAGTTGGGACCCTAACGGATCCTACTACCACTCCAGGTCAGGATAGACCTAGGAACAACAGCAGTTAAGTGGTGCTTACACACTCCTCAAAACCTCTCCCAACCAGAGGCCTTGCTGCTGAGTGTCATACCCAGGATGAATTATTATAAATTGATTCCATCAGACTAGTGCCCCATCTTTGTTTTTATAAAACAATCTGCCTCAGCAGATTGAAAAATGGATTCTTTAAAATAGCTGTAAGATCATCAACATATTTGAAGAAAGCTGGATGATACAACATTCAAAACAAGCAAAATAAAAAAAAACACTAGCCAAATAAATCATTGTACCACAGTAGACTGTAGTTATTTACTTGACTTACAACCAGGCTAATGTCTTCATCTTTGTTGTGTCCTCCAGTCTTCTTCAAGTGTGTTGATCTAGGTAACCTTCAGGCAAATTTGGTGATTTGCTCCTCTTAAATTATTTACTCTACAAGAGTAGGTTATTCTCATTCTGCTGTCCATATTTTGAGATATCTTGTCTTTACTGCTCATTGGTTGCTTGTGATGTTTACTGTGATTTTGAGTCTCAGCTACGTGGTCAAGGAATTGGAATCAAAATCATGCCACCAGATTGACAGTTGTCATATAAAAAGAAAACACAAGGAAATAAATACCCCAATAGTTGTGATAAATGAATCACTCAAGTAAGCAAAAAAAAAAAAAAGCCATTATAAAACTATAAGAAAATACATTTGTTGGTAAGTACTTAATAAGTACTTAATAGAATGAGTGGGGTATTGTTAATGATTATTCAAATTATCATTTGGCAACAGTGCAAATAGACATTGAAATATCAGCAAAATTCATAACACTTTGTATGTCAAATATTGATTGCCAATATTTTCCCTTCATTCTTTCAGATGAGAGCAACATATGTAAAATGGAAAATAAAAAGGGCCAATTACAATTTAAATTATAGCGTTCATATACCTATTGAGGGTCTATTCAATTAAGGAAATAATTGTATAATGAATGAAGGGTTAATAAAACAAAGTGCAATTAAAAATAGACAACAGATGTTTTGGTAGTTTGTGAAGATTACAAATATAGATAGAATAAGTAAATATCTAATATATTATTAAATCCATTGCAATAGTAGGCTTTTAAAATTCTTAAAAAAGTTTATCTTATCACGAAGGAAGAGTTTTTAATGGAAAAAAATAAGTTTCATAAATTCTTCAGACACAAGAAAATTAGCTTATTGTTTTTAAAAAATCATAACATTAGTGCGTGTGTGTATTATAATTGACTATCAAATGATAAAGAAAGATTGTGTTTTTATTTTTAGAATCGCTGTCAGGACTCAGCTGGAGCAGATTAAAAAAATGTTTTCCCCATCATTTTTCCCCATAGCTTTGTTTCTCAGATTCGAGAAATGTCTTCTTAGATTTTACAGTGCATCGAAAGTCAACAGACGCGTTATCGGCGCGGAAAATTAATTTTTCCCAACGAATTACAGAATCAAAGATAAATCCTTATGAACACTGTTTTCAAGGTTTCAAAGGTGAGTGACTGGAGGTTTTTTGTTTTGTTCGAGTGTTAATGTTTAATTAATTACTGAAGAAAGGGCAAATGGCAAACAAAACTATTCTCGTCAGCCATTTTTGGAGAAGAGCAGATAACTCGTGCTTCTGGGGAAAAGAAAAAAGCAGAAGAAAAAAAACAGAATGCAGCTCTGATGTGTTTTTGTGTGTGAAGCACAAGGTACACGTGTGTAGGCCTGCGTATACGCCTTTAAAGTACACACACATACGCCAGCAGTGCACACGAGTACACAGCTGGCCACCCCGAGCTTTGCAGGGGAAAAGATTTCGATCCCTAAGCCACAGAATAGACGAGAAAAGCAATCATTCAGGTGAGACTATTCAGCAAAAATCATAACATCTACAAATGGCGATTGACGTTTTTTACTTTTATTTTTTTTGTATCTGTTTTTTTTAATTTTATTTTTAAAAAACATGTCTGCTTTGTGTTTTCTAATTCTTTTCTTTTTGTTTTTGAATGCAGTTTTGCAACGTTTTGAGTAGAGCCGTAACATCTTCATTTAGTTTTTTTCTTAACGTGTTATTGTTTCTCTTCTTTCTCTCTTTATGCGCAGTTTTTTTTTTAAATAATAATAATAACAAAAATTTAAATTGCGCGCAAATTTAAAAAAAATAGTTTTCTTTCTTTTTTACTTTCATTATTTTCCTTTGTCTCTTTTTATAAACATTTAAATAAGTATCTGAAGAATTACTGTATATCGCGTTAAGAACAATTGCTTCTTAGACACGAAAAAAATTACGTAAAAAAGGTTAATTTTTGAAAAATACACATAAAACGAATATTAATGTATAATTATTACATCTTCTTAATATTTTTTTTTATTTGTTAAGTCTACAAGATTTAGGATTTTACTTTGTATGCAATAAAAAAAAGGCTGATATCTGTTTTTGTTTATAATTTCATACATTCGTGTTTCCTTTGAAAAACAGTCTTACGCGGAACCTTATGTTAAATTTTATTTTCTGTCGTTAGTTTTCAATTTCATTAATCATGATTAAATCCTTTCAATGTACGTAGATAGTGTACACACTCTGTGTACATTCGGTATGTATGCTGTGTACGTACAAAAACAAAATGTATTACTTTTTGACTCAGACTTCTACTCTAAATATAACTTCTTTGTTTTGTTGAATTTGTTCGTAAAAAAGCACTCACACTTGGTGTGTCTGTGTGTACTGCTTTTATGTATGTATGTATGTGTTTTACAGACATTTAAAAAAGTAAATTAAAAAAAACAGAAAAAAACGGTTGTTAAAATTAGCTTTTTTATTTATTTAACTTTAGGTTAATTTTGTGTAAATTTACGTATATACGTATGTTTTAACTTTTTTTTTAAATTTAAAAATGTTTACTCTGGAGAAATATAAAGACAAAATAAGTGCTAATTCAAATGTATTATGACAAATTCTATCTAAATATTTTCCTATGTCAATTTAAAGAGGAAATCCTGTTTTGTTTCGTTACATAAAAAAAACAGCATTCGTAAAAAAAAAAAAACCTGATCCGCTTCTTGTGACAACACATATTTTTTCCAACATATTTCCTATTTATTTATCATAGTTCTACTTTCCTTAACAAATATTATCATTACAGAATGCGGAAATTAATTTTATTATTGCAAAAACTCCGTTAAAAAAAAAAGTAATTTGGACGAGATGAAAGACACAAAAAACAAATTGCTCTTGAAACAAACATTTTTAAATAAATGTTTAAACTGCCTCTACTAATAAAATAAATATTTTATAAACTTCGAAGATCTGATTTAACTCGCGAGTTGCGACAAATTTTTAAAAATGTTGCATTTCACAGTTATCGTGTTTTAGTTTTACGTTTAACAAAACAAAATAAAAAACAAACTACTTTATGCATTTCTAGGAATTTAAACTCGTACGCATAACAAATGATATACACTGGTATTACGCAAATGCATCTTTCTTCTTTTTGTCTGATCTTGTTGCTATGTCTTTTCCTCTTTTGAATCATTTTGTAAACATTGCTTCGATAGCAGACAGTGTTATGGCGGACGTCGTCGTCCTTTGCTCATGTAAACATTCATCAGTCAATTTTTACGGTCACTTGGTAGAGAAATGTACGTAAACCGACCACAAATCTATTGACTGTACCCTTGAATATCTTTTGTTTACAGACACCAATTTACGTTACAAAAAATTCCTTTATATCCTCTTTATTTTTAAATAATTTTTTTATTGAGTGTGTCTATCTGTGTAATTTAGAAGCAACATAACCTTTTTGTTGCTCTCTACTCGGATTTGTTTTTAATTTTAGTAAATAAAAATAGACCTCATGTCTTTGTTTAATATGGATGGAACGAAAGAAAAACAGCTAACAAGGACGTCGTAGTTTGTTTTAGTAGGATTCATAATAATAATTTTAATTTAAAACTCTACCCGTCGTCGTAAAATATCACAAGTCTAGCTTTTTTTATTTTCAATTATTTATTTTGCATCTATTTTTTGTGTTTTAATAGGAAACCAAAAATAGATTTTTCAATTTTTTTTTACCTCCATTACCACTGCCGATTCTATTAAAAACCTTGTTCTTTTTTTTACTTACTTCCTCCTTCGTCTTTCATAAAATTTTTGTTTTACTATTTTCTTTCAAATTATTTTGAACACTAGCATTTGAAAATTTCGTAATTTTTATTATGATGGAAAATTTCTCACGTCATCTTTTACATGCGTAATAATAAATCTTTTGTCTCCTACCGCGAAAAAAAAACAAACTTTTTGACAGTATTTCTTTTCGATGAAGAAAGCAAATTTATCACATGCACAGATAAATTCCGTTATTAAAAATTGCGTAAGTTAAATCTGTATTAAATTCCCTAAAAGATTTAATTCAATACCAAAAAAAAAAATCATTAACGTTTTAAAAAATACCTGTAGTGTGGAAAACTGTAAAAACTAAAAAGCAAGTAAAACGCTAAAAAAATCTTCAGAATTATTTTACATTTTTATTCCGTTTTTTTTAAATTAAATTTATTTTTAGTTTTTATTTACATCTCTGAAAAAAGATAAATTTTAATTTGATTGGTTTAATTTTATTATTTATCTTTCCTTAATCTTTTCAATATTATTTTTTTTCTTTTCATGGTCCTACCCCCAGCCCTCCTTACCCAGTCTAACTAAAATTCCAAGGTTTATATTCTTTCTGGTCGCCGAAGGATGAAGACACGAGAGAGAGAGAGGAATGATTTTGTTTTGACCATCGGCACCATGATCTGCTTGTGTTCATTCACAATCAACAATTAAGCGCTAAATATAGTCCGTTTCGTTTTGTTAGTCATTCCCGGACATAAAACGTGTGTGTGTGTGTGTATCTTGCTTATGCGAAAGATCATCCTGCTATTTCCCCGACCCCTCTATTACACTACTAAATAAAGAACAATTATATATCTGGATAGTGTAAGCTTCTCATACTTATTTAATAGAGAGAGAGAGAAAAAAAATACAGATTAAGTTGCTAAAATGAAAATGGTAAAGACTGCGAAGAGAAGTTAGTTTCGGTAGAGTACAGTTACGTTACACAGGTTCAAATTTATTTTACGTGCTGTTGTTAATGTAAATAAATAAACCGTCTTTCTAATAATAAATAAAATATAAATTGTAATTGTCACGGTCACTAGACTGGGTCAGGGTCAGTGAAATGTTAAAATGAGCTTTAAGAAGATCAACATCCAATGATTTATTTTTGTTTAGCTTTCTAGTGATTTATTTTTCTAAAGAAATTAAAGGTCCTTTGTTTTTCTTTTTTAAAACGTGGAAAAAGAGGTGGGCAGTATTTTATCTTCAACTTTTGAAATAGTGTTGTCATCTTTGCTTCAACGATTATTCAATTGAAAAATAAAGGCAAATTAACCTTAATTTATTAAAATTTAAAATGAAAAAATAATAATATAATTATTAATTTTTCATTTTCTTTTTGTTACGTTTGCGAAACACTTTAAGTGTCAACTCAAATCAAACTTGTGAAAGAAAATTTGGCTTGCACAATTAAAAAATGTGAAGAGACCCCAGTCAAGAGCCGTAAAAAAGTTTTGTTTTTGTTTTTGTTTTGTTTTGTTTTTTTAAAGAGTAAAAGAAACAGATGATCGAATGATGGCGATAAATTTATTTCCTTATTGAGTTAAAAAAAAACCTAAAAGGATTTATTAAATACAAAAATAATGTGAAATATTGGTTGCTTCCACAAAAACTGAATTTTTCTGTTTTAGTGAATTCACCATCCCGAACTTGTATCATTTTTTTTTATTTCTTTTTAGCACCAGGAAGTTAGCAGTTTCAGTTTTTGTCAACAAAACCCAGTAACAATTCCCCTAAAAATAGCTACACCCTGATTTTTTTTTTCTTTTGTACGATGACTGTGTAGTGACATGTAAATGACTGCTTGATTAGCATAGCTAAGGCACAGAAACTGTATAAGTTCCCAAGCAGTAAGGGGAGGGGTAGAATATGATATGTAAGTCTTACAAGTTGGACTTGCAAGATTCCATTTATCATATATTGTTTATAATCTCTCAGTTGTGTCTCTCCCTTCAGTAAAATGCAACCAACAAAATTGAGAGGTGCTCAATCCCAGGGAATAGCTACCTGTGACAGTACCTCTCTCATTGTACTGAACAGGTGGTTAAGAAATAATGCAGATGCTAGTACAACCGATAGTTGCAAGAGTTGGGCTATTTTTGAATGTGGCTTTGGGGCATATGCTTGGGATCCCCACATTAAACTGATCTTGTGTTGCATTCTGCCTGCATGGGGCAGCAAGTGGATATCAAATATTAACTAGATCAATGGCTACCACTGGACTGAGAAAATACAAAGGAAATCACATTTCATGCAATGACTACAGGTTGTAAGTACTGAGCACTTGTGTCCCCATGAGGGCAAATACAATACTGTAGGTTTAAAATGTTGGTGGGGTCCACACATACAAATGTGGAGATAAGACTTGTCCAGTCCTACTCCAGCTTGTGTTAGTGTGACCTGTGACCCACTCCTTTTGTGCAATGGGAAGGTGCTGCTCAGAGTTGGCATCTCCAAAGATTAAACAATTCTACTTCAATTTTATTCTCTAATTTACTATAAGACTGAGCTAATCCTAGCAGGGATAAAGCTACAAACACCTCTGAGAAAACAAAAAACATTATTCTGAAGAAATATATTGACTCATGTATTGCAAGAATAAAACATTTTCTTTAATATGCTAACAGCTTATTCTCTGTTCTTGCTGGATTGTTTTCAAGTCTTTTAGAGACTTATTTAGTTTTTATTTATCCATAATGCTTCAATTTATTTTTGTCATTTCTTGTGAAAATATTTTCTCATACCCTGTTTTGTGTGTGACATACAAAAATAGCTGAGATGATGATATATATATATATATATATATTAAAAAAAAATGAACAGTATCTCTCAAGCAAAGACATAGCTAGGTCATTTTTAAATAAAAATATCACTTAAGCCAAGTGTTTTTTTTTTTTTTTTTTTTTAAGTCCATTTTTAAATTACTGTCTGAGCAGACAAGGCAAACAAACATTAAGTGGCAACTTCTTTGGAAGGTGAGAATTGTATATCCAAAATGGAGCACTGAAAAATTCCCAGTGATCAATCCATTTAGTAAATTCAGCATATCATGGAACAAAATTAAGAAAACTTTAAGTCCGTCATGCAGAGAACTTTTCACCACACTGTGTGTGCATTAATGAAATTTCATCCCTCTGCTTAAGTTTGTCTTTAACACTCATATTAGTGGCTTGGGAAAGTCAAAATAGATTTTTTAGAAGGCCAATATGAATAAGTTGGTAATATATTAATTTCACTTTGCTTGTAATTAAATATTTTCCTGGTAAAAGGTGATTATTAATCTTGTAGAATGACTCAGATGTGCACGTAGGGCAGAAATTTAAACGTAGTATTTTTTTTTTCTGTTTACGTTTTTTTTAATATACTGAAGATTTCTTGCTCTCAAAAATAGAAATTATGCTGGCCAATCCTCCTGAAGGCTATGGCCAAAAACAGCTTGTTTTCTTGTAATGTGATGTTGCATCTTTCTAAGATAGGAGGATATAATTTTTTACCCTTTTGTGCCATTCTGATTTCTGTTATGTTGTTTTCTTTTTCTCTCTCTCACCTGCTTGCAAACAAGGTTATTTGGTAGTGTCTGGGTTAAAATACCTCTATTAATGTTAGCTAATTTTATTTCTCGGCATCAAGGTTATTCAAGCTTGGAAAGAGAGAGAGAGAGAGAGAAACTCAAAACAATGAAACTGACCTGTTTTAGATTGTGTCCAGCGGTACAGTTCTATCACTCTACTCTCCTCCACTTATCTGTTTGAAAAGGTTTTTCATTTTTTTTTTTTTTTTTCATCTCCAAAAAAGTATTCAGCTGTATAAAGAGAGAAGTTCATTTTGTTTTCAATACTACAAACTGGTCAGAGGAAAAGTAAAGGTTTAAACTAAAATTTCCAAAAGTGGGATGATAGACTTTACCTCAGGTTGACATATACTTGAATGGATACATTTCATAATAATTCATTTTTAAAACTTGTTAGTATGTCAGGTGGGATTTGGAATGTACTTGAAATTAAATGTAATAAAGATTTGGATATCGGTAATGTGAATACTTTGTTAAACACTTTTTGAACAGAAACTCATTTTTGTGGCCCTTATTCAAATACATTAAATCATGTGTTATTCTGAGGCTGACTGAAGATTTCAAGTGATTGAAAATTGGTTGCATATTTATGTTAAATTTGTCTTTTACAAACAACCCATCTAATAGATAAAATGTATTCTGTTTATATCAATATAAGAAGTTTTGCCAATGTAGAGTTGTCAATATAGATTATATAGATGAAGGAATTTATTTATCTATTTTAATTTTTTACAAATACTGTTCTATTTTATAAAGGTAAAACAATAAAAAAAAATCTTAAAACTCAGCTTGGCATTTCATAATATGCTAAATATATCTGAATATTCTTTGTAACTTTGTCACCAAATGGGATAACAGATGGCAGTGTCTTTTTTCTTATATTCTATATATTTAGACTTGCATATAAAAATACAATGGGAACCTAACAAAATAGGAAGTGTTATGTCATCATTTTCGGGTAACTAGTTTTAATATAATTACCATCAACTTAAGTTATTTTGTAACACATTTTTGTTTGTTGTCAATGACTTAACAACCAAAAGTGACATCAGTTCTTATGTGCTACCTAGCAATTTGTTTGAAGCAGCTTAACTATTAAATCCTGCTTGTGGCTTATATAGACATTTACTAAGCTTAGAATCAAACTTGCTGCATTTGGCATAATCCGTGAGACTGGCTTCCAAGGTGCCATTGTTTTGGCTTATTTGGATGATAATGGCTTTTGTTGAGCTTCATTAAACAAACAGAACTTTCTCTTATTAATATTAAAACCTTAGATATTACTAAATCTTTTCTTATAAAAATTAAATGTTTTATTACAAGTAGGCTGGAAACTTAATATTTTCTGAGTTCAGTAACTCAAGAGAACCATTAAGATGAGGAATCATGTTCATTTCACTTATATCAAAGATTTACCCTATCCTGAGACTAAATATTTGTACTGAATTCCAATTGAGAGGATATTAAGTTTGCCAAACATTGCTCATTGATTGGGTCTTTGGTAAAAATTTAAGTGTACCTGGTAAATTCCTGTCTTTCTCCTCCACCCCACTTTTCTGTCTTGCTTGAAAAGAAAGAAATTTGTTGTGACAGTTCTGATTCAATATATATTCAAACCGGTCATAAATATTCAATCTACTAGCTTAAAGCAGGTTGACTGTAGTTAATAAGCAGAATACTATAGTAAACTTGATTTTCATTTGGTGCCCCCCCGCCATCTGTGGCCTTGTACCATATTAAAATAAATTGATTAATTATCAATAAAAAGAATATTTTTGTTTCTGCCTAATGGATTATGCTTGTAGCCATAACTAAATGTCTAAGAGAAAGTTGTCTAAAAGGTTTACCCTGCATTTAATCAGTCTATTAGTTTATTGTAGTAACATGTATAATCTCTATCAGGCTTTGGCACCTTATAAAAATGATCACTGCTACCCATTTGAGAAACTCTAAAATTGATCAATCAAGCTATGGGTTTAATAGTATAGTACACTGGGCTTTTTAGCCTTAAGTGGTAACCTGTTTAGGAGAAAGATAATCCTGAACTATTGAGAAGGCAACAGGAAACCACTTCCCAAGTAATGTTCATTTACAGACAATAAAGAAACAGAATCTGTAGACAGCCATGATTGCCCACCTACATGAAGGTGGGTTATAATGGTTTTTTGAAGGTGCTTGATATTTTCAAAGAGTAAAATGTCTATTTTTCTTAGCACACCACAATTATTACATAAAACAGTAATTTCATTCATAATGTTAATTGTCATTTACTATGAGTTACTGTTAGATTAGGCTACATTGAAAAGCCCAGTGCATCTGAATATTGAATTGACATTCTTCTTATTAATACCTCAAATTAGTCAAGGTTATTAAAAAGAAATATAACCCCAAAAAGTTACTCTTCACTTTCAAAAATAGCCTAATATAGCAAGCCTGCATTTACTTAGAAAATCACGTTCCCTCTGCAAATTTATTACCATTTCTTTGAATTTAACTCTCCACAATGAGGCACCTATATTTAGTTATTAGTTAACTTTTACTTGAAATTGTCAATGTATAATCAGTCTGTGAATGATGATGTATTGGATTAAGTGCATTGACAAGGAAGGATATTGTGATTGATGAACTTAGGTAGATTTACTTAGCAAACCCATGACCTACCCCAAACTATCAGTGACCTGCTATGTAACTGGTTTTCCGGGATTGGTGACTAATTAATTTTTTGTGTACACACTCAAATGACATCAAGGACACTTCTCTATCAGTTAGCAAGTCTAGCAGACAGTTTTTACAGTAATAATCATGATTCTCACGGTGTGCCTCAGACTAAGAGCTTGTTAAACTTCTATTTCAAAGTTTAATTTATGTATAAGCTTTTTATGTTTAACAATCTAAGTCAAATTGTGTGTGTGTCTTGAATTTATATATCTTTTAAGGTTTTATTGTCTCATGTTATGATGTTGATTTTCTTTTCTTTCCATTCATCCACCAGTAAATTTTCTGCTCTTGTTTGTCTGCTGCTGCTGCTCACGTGCAAGTGGCTCACTATTGACTGTCCATCTGTGGCTATGTTTCCTTGATTACTAACTCCAATCATGGTGAAGACATTCCAAGCTTATCTGCCCCCAAAGTGTCACCGAACATACAGCTGTGTCCACTGCAGGGCACATTTAGCGAACCACGACGAACTCATCTCAAAGGTAACTAAGCTCTTTGTATACTTCTTGTTCTTGATATTTTTCTGATATGGTTTGGAGAATTTTAAATGACTAACACCTTCCAGTTGGATTAGTATATTTTATTTACGAATTGATTTAGAGAAATGATTAGTAGTAAGAAAGAATAAAAAAAAAAAAAAAAGAAGCAAAGTGGTTTACTCTGTTCCTTTGTATCCCTGACCAGATTATTACTATGATCTTGAAATCTCAAATTGGTATATGAGTTTCTGTGGTATTAATTTACTTTCATCTATGGAATTTTTATGGTTTTGCATTTGGAAGGTTGGATTTTTTCCTTTGGTGGTGGTGGTGGGGGAATGGATCTAAATTTTTCATCTATTGCAGATGGGAATGTATTTCTGTAATCTTAGTTTAAAAAATGCCCAAAATCTATGGATGTACAAACAAATCATTAAAACTAGTCATTTTCTAATTTTCTTCTTTGTTAGTCTTTTTGTAATGTAAAACAGATTATCATTGATTTGAATCCTTTTAAAAAATCTAAATATTTTAATAACTCTACCTTGTCTTGTAGCAATAACAATACATTTTATTTTTTGTTACTATTAGGATAAATATTTGTACATAAATATCTTTTCAAATAAGACATCATTACTCAGTCTTCAGGTTTTTGACCTTTTTTTTGTATTTGTCACTTTGGTTTTGTTGAGTTAAAATATTTAGTTTTTAATTAAGTCTTTGCAAATGCTGATGTTTTCTATATATAATATTTTCAGCTTAAAAATTCTTATAATATTGGAAAATATTTGAAGTACATCTATTCTATTTTCAGTCTTTCCAAGGAAGTCTGGGGCGTGCATATTTGTTTAATTCTGTGTAAGTATTCATGTTAACCTCAAATGTTTTAAATGTTCATTTTAGAATTATTTTGCAACACCTAGGCAAAATGTTTGATGAAATTAGTGAGACATTTTCTTTTGCTTATTTCTTTGAGAATAGGAATATTAACTAAGTACCAAAAATGGGTTCAGGAAAACTTAAATTTAAAAATTTTATCTGAATTTCTGGGATGAGGAGTTATCATTATTTACTCTATTTATATTCAGACTATTATCCTCATCTTTGTTGTTTTATTACATTTTTGCCTTCTTCAGGTGTATAAAAATTTTGTTGGGTATTCAATAAACTAGAAACTTATAATTCCTCAGTTTTATTTGGGACTATTTTTAAATTATTCTATTGTTTTGGGGTAAGAATGTTAATGTTAAATCTTTGAGAAATATTTTTGCTCATTTCTTTTTGTATGTCTACTTTTTAAGTTTTTTCTTTCTCAATTTCTAGTGTAAGTGTTACATTTTTCATAAAACATTACATGGTAATTTTTACTCTTTCAGTAGGAAACATTTATTGATGGATAATGATTTCCTTACCTATAGTGGGTGTTTAAGTTAAAACTATATGCATAAATCAATTTTTGTGCAAACTGCATTTCACCTTGTTTTTAAGATATTTTTATTTATTTTTTATTATTTTTCTTACAGTGTGAATGTTGGCTGTGGCCCTGCTGAAGAGCGTGTACTGCTCACAGGGCTGCATGCAGTTGCAGATATCTACTGTGAATGTTGTAAGACCACCCTTGGCTGGAAATATGTAAGTCATTCACTTTTTCTTTTAATTTTATTGTTATTGTGACTCGTGAAGCATTGTGTCTTAATTTGGGGAATAGCATAATTAGTATTAAATAATTGCATTAAAAATAAAATATAAATGCAGTTGGGTTATTTAACTTTCTAAAATATCGCGGTTAGTGTAAGACCTGTTTAGTTCAGACAAAGCATTTCCTTATAAAGTGTACTGTAAAATAAAATAAAAGTGTCTTGTTATAGAATATTGTATTCTGAAACTCTAGGAAAACATTTTTTTAAATTTAATTTTTATTTTGAATTTTTTTCTTAAGATAGAAGCTTTTTTTTTCTATTTATTACTAGTTTTTCACACTATGCACTTTAGTAGGTTTCTGTTGCATATTCAGGTCATGCAGAAAATTCATGACCTTTTTTAATGGGTTAATGTTGAAGTCATACATAGGATTTGAGTCACAAAAATAAAAATAACCTGTTTCTGACTACTGACAATTCCTTTTTACTTAATTTCCTGTCAGACTTATACACGTTACATGCTTTTCTTCTCTTCCATCTGAAATATTTAATTTATTATTTATTTATCCTGGATATATTACATTCAAATGCAGTCAGTACTAAAATAATGATTGCAAGGTTTTGGACAATTGAATTCTTTAAAGGTCAATGTTAATTTCAGCATAGTTTTTTTTCCTTTCCTTGACAAAGAGCAAATTGGTGAGCATTCACGTGTAGATATATGGAATTAGTTGTGTTACATGAGTTGCTGAGAATGAGATTGTATGGTTTGCAATACAAGGAAAGGACTCGGTTTACATTTGCCACTCGTACAACCTTTTTTTTTCTGTAAAAAGATGTCCTTATCTTTCCAAAGAGATGATTATTCTTCTGAAAATGGCTGGAGAATGGATCAGCCAAGATATAACCCCAAAAGCAGTTCAAAGAATGGGTTTATGAGTTTGAATAATTCTTGGAGCAATAATGATTAACCTTAAATTTTTTTTCTGTAGAGGACTTAAAAGTAATCATGAAAGTGAAAGAAAGTTTTATACTTGTTTAATAAATCTTACCTGTCATATAATTTTTTATATGAACAGTTCATACATAGTTTATTTGCAAGCATAGTAGCTGTCATGTCAAAATTATATCTGTATGAAATGGCACTGCTGCCTAGAACCAGATTATACATGCATTCTGCCTAGGATCAATGTACTATTTGTGTATTTTGTGAAGTGTTTTATATACACACACACACACACACACACACACACACACACACACTTGTAGCCAGTCTGCTAGGGTAACTAGCTAATCCTTGTTGTAGACACTTGTTCAGGCACATTTGTTTCAACACCCACTGGGCAGACCTTAGTTTCTGGAAGTGAGAGTATCACCTGGCATGATCAACAGTTTGAATAAAGCTACTACACTTAAAATTTTAGTTGAAATGTGTATTAGCAAAACCACTGACTTCCATCTCTCCAATTTTCATTATATCTCTTGAGTAAACCTTATGGTTTGGCTTTCTGGCACTTCCAATTGTGTTACATGTTGGGATCATCTTCCAGCTCCTCTTTGAAAAAAATCAACTATGGTAGGATTCTTAATTGGATCTCCTGGTTGGAATGCTAGTGTGTGTGTGTAATTATTTTCATAAATTGGTTTCCATGTCTAGTTAGACAATGGTTGTGCTCTTTGAGGACTCAGTGTGATGTTGGACAGTGTTGAATATGACCGAGTTTACAGTGTCAGTTACTGTCACAACTGAAGGAAGTTGATTGCATCTGCTGCTGCAGATTTTCTTTCTTTGTTTGACCACAGTTCACTTTGCACATGCAGGCCACATGGTAATGAGGGCTACATGTGCAACTTACTACCATGCCTAGTAATCTATAGCCATCTCTTCTTGAGTTTCCCTTCTGATATTTGCAAATGTTACTCTCACAGAAGTGGGTGATCTACAGGTTAGAACTCTGTATTGAGCTCTCTGTATGGCCATCCTGCACCTGTCAGTGATGACAATAAGAGAGCATTCATCACTGCATGAATAGGTGCAGACTTTTGGACATGCTATCCCTGTTCTGCATGTTCCTCCATTTCTCACAATTGATATTGAGCAGCAATTTTTATTCATACAGTTATTGAATACAACAGACAAAGAATATTAATGCTTTTTTTCTTTTTTTTGTGTAATTTTATTTTATGTAGTTTCTCTTGTTTTCATACAACAGAACCAATGGTTGATTGAAGACTATGCAGAAATTGTCCATACTTAATGTCAGGTCTCATTCTTTTGATCATTCTTGGGTCATACTTGAGAACAAAACATGGAGGCTTCTTGTCAGAGAAAAATGATATTCCTTTTGTTAGATGCATGTGTGTGAAAAATATGTAAATTGTGTTTTGGGTTTATAATGTTGTGTCTGCCTATATTTGTATTGGCTTAGAATTAAAATACAGGTATCACACTTGAATTTTCTTTTCATTTCACTCCTGTGGAATCTGCAATTACAAAATTTTGTTGGGTCAAAAGTCAATTGAAATTATAATTCACTAAAATGCTTGTGATAGCCTACTTCATGAGTGAGATAGTCATATGCTTTTCTTTGCCACTAGTTGTTTGTATTGACTACCCCCTCAAAAGTTGGGGATTGGGAATAAAAGCTCTCATTTATTGGAAGGTCAAAATGACCTTCTTTCTCAATTTTGGTTTTTAGCAGTTCTCAACTCCACTTAATTTCAAACATTTAGCTTTATCACTTCTTGGAAATACTGTTTTAAATAGAATTTCTTTTTACATTTGTTCAGGCTGTTGTCCTCATCTTTACTGTAGTATTCACAATGTTTTGGCTGTTGCATGCTCTGGCCTGCTTCAGGTGATATTTGTTGGAATTTCAAACTGAGCTCTTTATTTAGTCCACAGGAGTAGATTGTTCTAATTTCATGTACCATGCCTTTGGACATCATGACCTAAGAGATAAAAGCATTGGTTGATTGATCCAAAAAGTGACTTGACACAAAGAGTTGTGAGTTCAGTTCCCGGCTTCAATGGAGAGAACAGAAATTTGGAGAGTTATCAAGGCAAATTAACTAAAACCTGAGATATCCAAAGGCATGTTATGTGAAAGTAGAACAATTGATCTCCGTGGACTAAATAATGGGTTCAGTTCAAAATTCCAACAAATATCAACTGATGTAGACCAGATTGTACAACTGAAACATCGGGAATGTGACAGTAAAGATGAGGGCAACAGTCCAAACAGTGTAAATAGTTAAAATACCTCATCTCAGAAATAGAGACAGATAATAGAATTTCTATATTTTGTTTTTCTTTGCTTTTTGTATGTCATTTTTTCTCCTTTGTCAAATTGGTTAACTTTATCTTAAATTGAAAGAAAATGCATTTTTTCTTAATCACCACTACTGACCCTTATTGCAATGTAATGGAAATAAGATGAAACTTAAGGGATCACTGATAACAGTGTCTGCCATGTAAGTGGGTCTAACAGTTTCCTTGAGCCCAAGCAACAAGAATTCTTCATGTTTATTCAAACTTTGCAAAGATATTGCTGAAAATTTTTTTTTGTTTATTTATTTTTTTTAATTTCATGAGGGGGTTTGATTTGAAATGTGTCTCTGTTTTTGTTCTTACTTCCATTCACTTTATTCTTAGAGCAATTTTTTTTTCTTTTTCTTTTCCCAGGAGCATGCCTTTGAAACCAGTCAGAAATACAAAGAAGGCAAATTTATCATAGAGTTGGCACACATGATCAAAGACAATGGCTGGGAGTAGCAGCCTTACTTGCTCGGATTTTTACAAACATTAACATTGGACAATAAAAACACCACCACTACCACTACCACCACCACTGCAATTTCCGAGCCAATTCCCCTCTCTGCTCCCCTTCACCTTCTTACTGTTTTCTTGACAGGGACAGGATGTTACCTTTCTCACTTGTCCCTCCTCTTCCTGCCACTATGGTCCTTCACTCCCCTCCCCCCTGTAATATTGATGATGATGGCTGGCCACAACACCTCACTCCTATCTGCTTTTATTTCTTGACCAACCCACCCTTTCCCCCTCCCGACTTACCCTTTCTCTTGGCCCTGATGAGGGTGTTGGGACTGGATCCCAACATCCAACCCCTGTGACTCATTCTCATGTTTTTTGTGGCCTTGATAAGTTTTTTTTTGGGCGGGGGGATGAAAGAAAGGAAAAACGTGGGTTGGGAGGGGGGGGATGAAAAGTGAAAAAGATTTTT